TCACTAACATGACTATGGTGATGATCAAGATCCAGCAAGTTGGAGCTAACTACTGCCTCTTGTTTACACTGCCTTTTCAACACTTTAACCGCCCATCATTTGTGTAGGGTGGCATCCAGGTAATGACAAGTGGTTGATGATAAAGCATTGTGCATGTTGTGTATCTTTCCAAAGGCTTGTAACTCTGACTTACTTGAGTGTTTGCCAATATCAACCATCATCATGCATAAGAAATGTATTGAAAACTTACATAGGAAGACAAGACAGCAGATCGAACACTACAGTGTTTGAAATTAAGGTGGGTCTGGGGGTCCTTGAGCATGTTGATCATGTTGATATTTGCCATGTTTGCTGCTGTACAATTTCTCCATCTACATGTTCTAGGGACCCCTAAATTCTGAACATTGGTGTCATAACAAGGTTCCCTTGGCTGTAATGCATTCTTTCCAACCACGGAACATCATCATGATCATAGCAATCATGGCAACGATATAATTATGATGATCATCATCATGACTCACAAGCTGAAACTTGCATGAACATTACGATGACTACATAATCAGTGTAATTGATGTTTTATCAATTACTTGCACCAATACCTGTTCATACAATAGGACACTGTGGTACAAAAATCTGTACATGTGTCGCTTGAGGAATAAACATGTGGCAAAGAAAAAAGACACACAAAAAAATCAGTTGTAAATATATTAATGGGAAGCATGCTCCAACCATGCCAACAGAGGATCAAACACTTCTAAACAGCCCACGGTGACACAATTTGGTGAGGTGAAATGGTGTTTATGTTGAGTCCAAGATTATTACGCTTACATAGCGGTGTGCATGCACGTGTATGTGTGTGTGTGTGGCTGCTTGTACTTGTCTGGACTAATGCAGATTTTATAGAGCTAGCCCACTGAGATACCATGCCACAGTTTAACATGAATACCCCACTCAGACATAGTATACCGACGCCGAGCTGACCAGCCCTTGTTTTATCCCCTTAATGCCGAGTGCCATGCAGGGTAACAACAAGTAACACCTTTTATAGGTATGACGCGGCTCAGGATCGAAACCCAGACTTTCCTCTCTCTAGGCAGACACTCCACCACCAGACCACAGAGGCGGTCTGACACAATTGAGGAAGCACAATTGACACAAGATAAGCATAATAGTGGGGATAAAAATGTCCAATTTTTTGTTGCCATCATCATGTTTACATGATTTTGAGAACAGGATACATGGTCACTTCCTTGTTCCTCAGCATGATCGGCATTATCTTAATTACAGGGTTATCAGCGTTACCTGGTTATAGATACCATGCTTACTAAAGCTCAAAAATGCAGCATCATCACAGGAAATATGAATACTGTTGATCAATCTCTAAACTTGGTCAGTCACTCAATGTTATCTCACCATGAGCAATGATGAGCTAGATAACATGTAGATTTAGTTTCGAAAGATTGACCACGTTTTTCTTTTCATCGAGATCGATAACACCCTTTTCAATATCAGAATCACTAGGCAGTCTGCATTTTAAGCCACTTGTCTAAAGCCTAAATCTACTTAAAATAGTGGTGAGACCCATATTATTTGTCAAGTATATTCTAACCATGCTATTATGATCTACAACTTTTCACTGCAATAGAGAAAGTTCGAACCCTAGAATGTATTCTAACATAATTAGTTGATATATTCAAAGCAGTGTTTTGACACTAAAAGCTGTATGTAGGTCAATGACTTGTACCCAAGAAATGTAATAAGTCAGTGGCAAAAGTCAGTAAGTCAAATCACAAAAAAATAGCCCGACGAACCATAACAACAAATCAATGCAATACTGTTTGTGACTGGATGAATATATACCATCTGGCCAATCAAATGTTCCAATAAGAAAAGTGCTTGACTAAGTCACTATAACTCCTGACAGCGTTTCCCTATGATACAGAAAGTAAGATGTAAAGACATGCACTGCCCACAATTTCAATTACAAATTTTGATGGCTTTGCATTATTTTGTTGTAAGAAACTTTGATACTGTAGCCTTGTTAAGCATTTCTATCTATCAAAAGCCTGACTACTAAAACAAACCATCGGTCAAATTGAAATTTTATATCAGTCTATGACCGGTGACCAAAGGCCATTTGAAACTCTGCAAAGAAAAGAAAAACAAAAGCTAATTCCAAAATAAATATTTCATGACCTGATGTCTATGCTATTTTGACACATTTAACATTTTACGATATTACTGTTACCAAACTGAACATGCTGAGTAATCATGGTCCTGGAATGCAGTTGATAGTGTCAAAATGTGGAACAAGTTTGTTTTGTGGACCATCTGACATGACTGATGTGAGGATTAATAAAACAATTTGTGTCATGGCATGTACTGCTTGTTTTGCCACATAATCAAGCTTATCATGTACTAGTGATGTACATGATGCAAAGAAGGAGCATTATATTGCCGTGCATTGGGAACTTTGTAACAGCCAATGCTATTCAGGTTTGGATCAAACCAGAGGTCGCTGTGTTACATTTGTTGGTTTGTTTGACACTGCACTCAGCAATATTTCAGCTATATGATGGCGGTCTGTAAATAATCGAGTCTGGACCAGACAATCCAGTGATTGACATCAGGAGCATTGATCTACGCAATTGGGATATGATGACATGCATCAAACCAAGTCAACGAGCCTGATTACCCGATCCTGTTAGTCGCCTGTTACGATAAGCATAGTCGCCTTTTACGGCAAGCATGGGTTCCTGAAGACCTGTTCTACCCCGGATCTTCGCGGGTCACATTTCTTGGTACCAACCTCATATCTAACCATGCCAACTGGTCCACAGCTAATTTCAGATGGTTGGTTTATCATGTTTATGTAAATATATTTTTTTTGGAGAAAAACCAACAGTATTTAGATTTTCACTAATCTCGGACCAATGGCTGGGTCTAAGCCTGCTTTTCGGTATGAGCAGCCATCCAATCCACATTTGGGGCCCACAATAACAAGTACTTGGCATTATTACCACTACCATGCACAGCTACAAGCTATTCATATCATTTCATCATGTTTCACACATTCCTCAGCTCTCAGTTGAAAACAATGAGGAAAAAACACTGTCTTGTTACTTCAAAGTAAAACATGTGAAATCTGGCAATGGAGTTGAAAGCTAGCATCGCGTTACAGTGTTAACATGGGCCAAGAATATATGTACCCTAGCATATGTAGTAACTGTATCAGTGTCTGACAGGGTGAACAAGTAAGAATGCTCTTGTTACCATGACAACAGTACCTGATGATGTTGATGAGGTAGAAATGGTAAAAACACAACACATTGTAAGGTGTATATTTCTAAACAATGACAGTATGTGTCGGTTAGTTAAAATTACAAATAATCAAACCACAAGCCATCTTGAAAGATACAAATGATACATCATCATGATTGTGCACCTGTTCATTGTCCAGATTGTCAGCAAGACCAAAATGGAAAATAAAGAAACACATGTTATTGACCTAAAGATGAAATTGTGTTACTGGTACCTATCAGTTGCCTATGGCTCACTACTAATCAGTCATTTTTTACTAGTGGTACCCATTGGACTGGTAATATAGCGCAAGATTAGAATCAGGGTTTTACCGTGCCCTACAAAACCAAGGGTCCTTGGAGCCCCAATTACTCATTTCAAGGGTCCTTACACAAAAGTTACAGGCAATATGGGGTTCTGTAATGTAATGAATTCATGTAGGTTCTTATACTGTAAAATAATTTTTTTTACTTCAATTACAAGAGCTTTATATTTCTTGTCTAGGATTTGGTACAACGAATATTACTGTGTGTCCCTTGGACATGTTGGATGCATTTAATATTTTTTCTGCGTCAATTCTATACATTTGTGTGTACTGGATGCATGTATCTGCATCTCGTAAACCCTGTTAATTTAGAATAATAATGAGCAAGAGGATACACAAGTCAGTCCTACCCAGTTTGTACCAGTGTGAGTCTTGGACTGACCACTGTTGACTATCATGACTATGTCTAAAAGACCTATATAACTATAATAACACAACTGCCTGTCACCATAGTAATGACATCATGATCATAATGCTGTTGTGCTCACATGGTTTAGACTTATATGATGTATATAGTAATGCATTATCATGACTATTAAAAAAAGATAGATATTCTTTACCAAATGACACAAGCAAGTAGATTTTCCCATAGTCATGGCAACAGGTTTGGCAGGTCAAGTTTAGCCATGTTAGCCAAATGTGTTTATAACCATGTTCAAATATTTACGGTAAACACAGTCAAGACTGACGTTAATACCTACTTTTCCCAAAACATAGGTAAAACCAAAAGCAACCTCAATATCTATGACAAGCTACCATGGTTTATCAGTCATGTATTATATGACACACAAAACATCTGGAGACACATACAATACCGGTCCCTTCTCATGAAAACTGACCTTTGCATCCAATAATACATTTGAAATTATAAGAAGCGAATAAAAAAACCTAAGAACCCCTTGATCATGTTGATAGCTCTTCTAGTTCTACATTCCATCACAACAGAAATTATTGATCAATTGCAAAATAAAGAGTATAATTTCCTGCTGCATTTACAGCACACAAAGAAAGGGAACAAGAAAGTCCATCTCAGTGTACGTAGATCCATATGTTTCATGATGGAATCATGATCATAAGCATAATAAAACAATGATAAACAAGTCAAATTGCAATTTCCATTAACCATGTTAACGTATGGAGAGAGATGATGAAGCCACTTTGGATTAGTACAATCAACATAACCAACACAGCTTTTCTTTTCTTTAATCATTGTTAACAGTTTACATAGTACACTGACAAAGCTAATTGGGCAATCAAAACAAAACCATGTCTTATATAGTGGTTATCTTGTGCAGCTGCTGACTGACATCCCAAAATGTCCTGCAACTTAAGACGTTTCAAACAGATGTCAACTAACTTTTAATTATATACTCACCTACTGCTGGTGCATCATATGAATCTCCAAGAAGGATTTCTGGAGCAGAATATGCAAGTGAACCACACGATGTCTCCAACTTTTTCCCTGGATTAAACATATTACTGAATCCAAAATCTGTCAATTTCACCAGACCCAGTTTCTCAAAAAACACCACATTCTCGGGTTTTAAATCCCTGTGAACAACGTGGAGTCGGTGGCAATACGATATCGCTTCTACTATTTGTCTAAAGTATCGTCTTGCTGCAGTTTCTTCCAATCCGCCGTCATGTTTCATGATATAATCATACATATCTCCTCCATCCCCAAGCTCCAATATCAAATACAACTTGGTCTGTGTGTCTATCACCTCGTACAACCGTACAACATTGGGGTGTTGCACCAATTTCATGCATCGTACTTCCTGGAATAAGTGTGAACGAGATATTTCATCCAATTTTGTCTTATCGATGACTTTCACCGCAACTTTTTCGCCTGTAAATACATGTCTTGCAAGTTTTACGACAGCAAAATGGCCTCGTCCGATTGTGTCCTCCAAATCGTACAAACCGGCGATTTTACCATCATAATCGCCTCGCTGTTTCCTTGTTTCCATTCTAGACATCTGATCAGCCGTTCAAACTCACTGGGTCTCATTTATAGGGCGTTCTAATAGCTTTCACCCCTTCACCCTTTTGGCAAATACAGATTTGTCGTCACGTTAAACGACTGTCTCCCGTTTTCGAATCACATTGACGGCCATTTTGGACCTTTGCGCACCAAATCTCACGCATCCATGACGTAGTTTTCACGTGACCTACTAAGAGAATGAATGAATGAATTGTTACCGTAAATGGTATACCGTAATCAGCTGATTATGAGCTGAAATCTGAACTGTTTCGTTTGCAAACTAATGCGATGATATCAGATACACAATTTCAAAACTTTCTGAACCCACTTCTGTGTCAACTTCGAAACACTGACAAGATGCTGAAACGTTTAGTTCATAATCGTAAAGTACTTTGAAAGTGTGTATGTGGTTTTTTTTCTCCAAAATTTCGACTGCGTTTAGGCTCTTTCATAAGAATATCATATGAGTTGGCAAGCAAAAAAAGTGACGTTTTAATTACTTGAATTAACCTTCTAGGATTGCTAAATATCCCAAGATCTCACTTGCTCGTGTTAAAATGAAAAACACACACCCTAAAATTTCTTAAATCAGTCCTTTCGATACATATCAGCCTTTTATTCTACGCTTGACGTAATTATAAGCCAAACACGTAAGTGAGAACATCTAGTAATATGAAGTCTTTGAAAGGCATTTAGAAGTGATCCACATAAGGAAGAGAATAAATGCATGTCAACTTTTGTATTATGAGGAACACAACGTTTCGGGGTATATACTTACTCCATCATCTGGTGAATGATGAAGAAGTAAGAAAATTCTCTGAAATGTTGTGTTCCTCATAATAAAGAAGTTAACAACCTTATCGAATCATATAGTTCATAAAAATCATTAAAAGGTTTCTAGTGGAATAAACAATCAATCAATCATGTTTATTTCGTAATTACGGTCATATGGCCCATAGCACAGTTGTAAGATAAATTATATTGTCTTCACATGTGTTACATGTTTGTCGACCACATTAATATTACAGGAGTAAAATACATTTGCCAAAGTAATTCTACCTTTAATAATATTTCTGAAATGAGGTAACGGAACTATTACTCTTGTGAACATATTTCTTACATGCAAAAAAGACATGGTATTCATCCTCTACTAAATGAAGGTCTCAGTATTCACATACAGATGCTGTATAAGGTATATCTAACAATGACCTTTTACCAAAAATATTAACTCGAAAGAAAGTTATGAAGAGATATTCAAAATTTACACATTGCTCTAACTAATCGTTTGTCTCTGAGTACTGTTATATATAATTCGGGTTGCAGAAGAGATTTCATATTAGCATAATGCACTAAAAAAATAGACGACTCCAAACATGTAGTGCCATGTTTTGAAATACGTATTTCGTAAACGTCTTCTAAATGCAGATTAAACCATGTTCAATACTATATCTCGTTCTTGATTACAATATAGTCAATGGATCTATCTATCATAATCATAACAACACCATTTCTGAAAAAGCCCAATATTGTTTGTTTGTTTATTTGTTGTTTAACGCCACACTCCGCAATATTCCAGCTATATGACGGCGGTCTGTAAATAATCCAGTCTGGACCAGACAATCCAGTGATTGACATCATGAGCATCGATCCACGCAATTGGGATACGATGACATGTATCAACCAAGGCAGCGAACCTGATTACCCGATCCCGTTAGTCGCCTCTTACGACAAGCATAGTCGCCTTTTGCGGCAAGCATTGGTTGCTGAAGACCTATTCTACTCTTCTATTCTATCTTCACAGGTCGCCCAATATTGATAATCATCAATCTATGCAGAGAAACACCTTTCCGTAAGTATAATGTTTACTTGTTACACTCATGTACATAAGTATATGTTACTGCGTATAAGGATAAACTTATACTGAGTATTGCTCCGTCGTTTTGAAATCTTGCCAATAAAACTATTTTAATGAACATTAAATAATGTTTCAGTATATTTGATAGGGTAATTAACATGGCTCAGCCTAAGGCGACTTTCTTTTAAAAACACGTATTTAATGTAATGCATGTTATATTATTCTTCTAGTATATAAATGACAGTATCTTTCACGGCATATAGTTATGGTATCAGGATTGACTTATATCGACTTTTATTCGAGGCGCTTCCATATACTATTACACATACTTTAATCAAGAGAGCGCCTCGCAACATTAACGCAACAATAACCACTTGATGACTTACTTGAATGTCCCGACCCTGTCAAAGAGGCAGAACCCCAGTCAATCCTGACTTCATTTTTTCTCTATAACACTATACAAAGCGATCTCTGTTTAATCAGAGCGCCTACATGAGGCTTATAGAGATCCCTAGTTTAACTGCATGGAAAGCAACAATAAATTATATACGGGTGAATTCAGGGCAACACGACACCCATGCAGGTCGCAAATGTGGAGAATAATCCCAGCGCCACGCCCCAGTGCCCCGGTGAGATACCACAGACTCATGCTCATTACACGGGAGGCTAATAACTGTACAGGGGTCATTGGATCGGAACAGATTCTCCTTTTCGTCTATCAACAACTGCTTCATTGAATTCACGCCAATTATATATATTACAATACTAAATAGCTGCATTAAATAGGATCTACAGCTTTTAGAAGATGTAGCATCAATGAAGACGGAGTTGACAAACTGATTTTAACTTCTTTATTCGTGCAAATACAACGTATCGGCACATATGCTGTTGGCCTTTTCATGCTTTTTTATACTTGTACCTTTATCAAGCTCGGTAAACGTTTGACCTAAACGTCGCACGGGAAAACTTAACATGTGTCGAAACCCACAAGACTTTGCTTCAAGGTTTTAAAGGCGTGGCGAGACTTGGTTGTACCTGTACATTCGGCATATATACACAGAATCTCAGAAAATATATTCATGATTATTTGAGTAATTACGGTAAAATACACTTCCTGTCCAGCCACCATTTCAACATGTTACAGCTGATATTTTATTCTGGTATGAATACATCTCAAAGCAAAAATGTGATATCTGTATTATAGCAAGAGTGCAGTCAGATTTGAATGGTATATTACTACGTTACTTATTAGGCTTTAACGCTAAACCTTCTATGATATTGTTTTGGGTACTTACTTGTTTTATAACATTTTGCATAAATCTAAAACAAAGTTTTATCTCTTTCAAAAATGTATATATATACTTAGCATTGACGTATCGCCATGGTGTGATTACATTTTATCCATGATGATTCGGTATTTGAAATGATCACTAGCAACCTATAGTAATTCTAATAACTCGTAAGAGGCACAACATGGATCGGTTCGTCAGACTCGGCCCCTTGGTTGACTGCTGCCATCGTATATTCTGTCTGCTTGGGACGTTCCTTATAACATCAATGGCTGGTCGTCTAGTCCAGATTCGATTATTTACAGGCCACAGTCATATAGCCTTTCTCACTGCATATTTACCGTAATATAAAAAAACCCGCTGTAACAGGGTGCGTTATATACCATTCAAAGAAGTTGAAGAACACCTTTTTTACATATGACTACCGTTAATCTGTCATACCATGATAGTCCGATAAACTACTGTCAAATGAAAACCACGGGCGTTCTTTAACTTCTTTTGAATAGAATATTAATCAGACTATGAGTGAGTGAGTATGGTTTTACGCCGCTTTTAGCAATATTCCAGTAATATCACGGCGGGGGACACCAGAAATGGGCTTCACACATTGTACCCATGTCGGGAATCGAACCCGGGTCTTCGGCGTGACGAGCGAACGCTTTAACCACTAGGTTACCCCACCGCCCCCTAGGTGTTTTTTTATGATTTCCGTGTCATAACATTTATGTCAGCATTAATACTAATTCGACCGTTGACAAAATATTTTTATCTTGCAAGCCATTCAAAAGTACATCACTCATCACGAAGGGTGAAATATATTGTGCCTTTACTGACTTCCGCAAGGCATTTGGTATGGTTGATAGGTGTCAGCGCTGATGTATATTCTTTTAAAAATTGTGGAAACTGTTAACGCACATAAATATCTTGGGCTTATGGTTACAAGGTACAGATCAGCCCATGCAGTAGCCTATGGAGAATGTGGTAGAGTTCCACTGCATGCTATTTATCATATTAAATGTACTAAGTACTAGTTCAAAATATTACAAATGCACCCAAGTAGGTATCCATTACAATGTTATAAAATGTTATTTATAACGGCCGACAGAAAACGCCCTAATTAGGCAACTTATGTGAAACATTTACTATTTCGTTATGTTTTTTGGCTTTGTCTGGTTTGCACAAGATATGGGTGATACCAATCTATTTGTTTATAAATTTAGTGAAAGAGTTTATGACTGAACAATTCAAGATTGGCATGCATCGCTAGGTACCACATTTCTTGAATTTTATGTCTCATAAGCTGAATTTAACATGTGAACATTATCTTTTAAATACTAATAATTGTGAGTATAAACGACTGCTTACTAAATTGGCCATACCCCCCCCCCCCCCCCCCCCCCCCCCCCTGGTATCCAGTTGGTACGTAGAGGTTTAGTAAACTGTTTTGTGCAAGCATTGTAATGTAATTAAAGACAAAATACATGTTATATACCGCTGTGTCCTCTACGATAGTGAGCGGAAATATCTAATTCCCCAAACTGTAAAAGATAACTAAATTTATTATTCATTACAAAGAATATGTCAGTCATAAAATGTTAATGTCATGTTAAACTTTGCCAGGTTCCTGAATTGTTTATCTTCCCTTAAGAAATAACTCTCTGTAAAATGGTACTGTAAACCTTTTTGTACTATTGGTCTGATGGCCTTCATGCAAAAAAAACTGTCTGTCTGTCATATATAATAATTTTTGACGTACCAAAATGTATTTTTCAAACAGCGTATAAACACCCAAATATATTCATCAAGACGAAATGCCAGTATGTTTAATTTGTGAAAATATTACGTGACACAAAATGATCCCATAAAATATAATAGTATTTGAAAAGTCCGGGCCCTTCTCAATCTCTGACGACGATAACTGTCCCATGTAAGCCCTAATTCCTTACGTCCCAAGTCGCCTGGCCACTGACTGTCGACTGACCATATGGCCTAATG